TTTTTCACATAATCCCACATTTCTTGTAGGCTTATTTCTTTTCTCTTAATTTTCTGCTTGATTTCTGTGACTGAGTTGTTAAATTGGAAAGAGTTGTCTTCAGTCTCTCAGGTTCTTTCTTCTGTTTGATCTACCCTGTTCTTGAGGCTTTCCACTGTGTTTTGTAGTTCCCTGAATAAGTCCTTCATTTCCAGGAGCTCGGTTTGATTTTTCTTTAATATTTGCATTTCTTTAGTGAATTTTTCTTCCAAGTCCTGGATTGTTTTTGTCATTTCTTTGTGTTGGTCATCCATTTTTTCTTGCATATCATTGAGTTTTCTTACAATCCATGTTTGAAATTCTTCTTCTGTCATTTTAGTGTTCTGAGTTTGGTTAATGTCAATTGCTAGGGAGCTGTTGTTCCTCTTTGGGGGTGTGCTTCTGTTTGAGTCTTCATACTTCATACTTCCAGAGTTCTTTGGCTGGTTCCTTCCCATCTGGATCAGTTGTTCCTTCTTGCCTTTAGATTTTTGTTTGGATAATGACACACGTTGTTTAGTCTCTGAACCAGTAGGTAGTGTTTGTGGGTGAGATTCGACCACACCCTTTATGATGAATCAGTAGATGCAGTAAAATGGTGTGCAGGATGACCTCCCTGTCAGTAGGTGGCACTTGCTGGGAGGAGGGAGCTGCGGTGCTGTTTTTGGGTCCTGTAGCCAGCTCTTGTTCCTCTAGAGAGGCCCTCTTGTGCCTCGGGTGGTGCCTAGGGCCCTGGGATTTCCAAGTGTGTCTTTATTCTCCGCCTCAGTTGGGGCAGTTCCAGGAGTGAGTCTTGGTGGGGCTGGGTTTGGTGAGCCTGCCCTCAGGCTCCACAACTGATGTTAGCAGGGGTCAAAGGTCTGTTCTTTGTTTCTGTGCAAAGCTGCTGGGAGGGGCTGAAATGGCTGCACTCAGCTGAAAGTCTGGGCTTGGGGGGTGGGGCTGTCTGAGACCCACACTCTGGAGCAGGTCTCGCTCCCCTCCACCCTTCCCCACTCTTGTGTCCTCTCCCAGGCCTCTGTTGGCAAGTAGGACCTCAGGCCAATGGCTCTCCCTTCGCTGTGACGTGCGCTGGAAGGTTCCCTACCCAGGATCGCAGCCTGAGCTGGGTGCACAGCCCTCTTTTGGGAGGAGGGTTGCCACTCCGGCACACTGATCTGCCCGTGAAGGTGCACACTCCTCAGTAGGCTCTTTCACAGATCTTCCTTCTGTGCCCCGGGGCAGTGCAATCTGACCTGGGTGTACGGGGTCTGGTCTGCAGGCCTGACCCCTGGACCCTGGAGATCAATCCCTGACCCTGTCAGGGGGAGGGGTGCTGGTCTTGAATCACCTACAGGGTGCCCAAGCTGGATTGATGTCACTCCACCTCGGGATTTGTCCCCCACTGTCCTGGAGTCCCCAGGCAAGTAGCACCTGGGAGGGCTGGCGGGTAGGGGGCTTGCAGTCTGAGTACCCCTCAGTCTGCTGTAGGGCCCCAAAAGGAAAGGTCCCGTTCCTTGGAGATGCCTCCGTGTGATGGCTAAATTGTCTCTCTGGGCACCCATGGGTAGGGAGGGGGAAGGAGAGAATGGAGCACTATGGCATCTGCCAATAGGCTCGGGTCTGCACCCGGGGAGGTGCCCCGAGGGGGCTAGGAGCCTGGTGACGTGTCCGTAAGAGGCCACTGCTCACAGCGGCAGCCGTCTCTGGGCTGGTGTCAGCAGGTCTCTCCAGCCGCTCTGGAGCCACCCATAGTCCGAGATGCAAGGGAGGGGGAAGTTAACCGCTCCACCTACCCTTGTCGCTGGTCTCCAAGCCTCTCGGGACCTTTCTCCTTCCAGTTCTCCTTCGCAACGTCTTCCCGTGGAGTCTCCTGTAGTTTCAGGCACCCTTCCTTACGACCCTCACCTGATCTATGTTTCTCTGCTAGTTTATTTTTTTCTCTTTCTTCTAAAATTTGTCTTTTTTGCAGAGACACTCTGACTGCGGCTTTTCTCGTCTGCCATCTTGGCTCCTCCCCGGTTTCATGTTCTTGATCACCTCGAATGAAACCTCAACACCTGCTTCTGGTGTGAGTGTTGGGTTAGGTTTTATGCGTGGGTCTCCAGTGTGGCTAGTTCCTGCTTCTCCTGCACTTCTTGATCAAGGTGCCCTCTGGTCCTGATTAACTCAGAACAGTGGAGGGTGGAAGCAAGAATGGGTGCGTGTGTCCCGCCTGATGCTGGGTCTTTATGCTCTTGGTGCAGCTTCAGGAGGTGGTCCTTACACTCGGCACACTCCGTGTCATTCGGGTCTCTGCTCAGCGACCACCTCATGAGGAGCCCCTCACTGACCACCGAGTCCAGGACAGCCACCCTCAGCTACCTTCTAGCGTGTCTCACTCTGTTAATTTCCCATAACAGAGGTGACATGTCACCACCTCCGCCATGCATGACGGGTTAAACAGTCCCAGACCAGTCCAGATTCAAGGCAGAGGGAAATCAACCCCTCCTCTTGTTGAGGATAATGAGAAAGACTTGGAAGCCATCACCTTTGAGGATTTGGGTTAGAGTCCAAGATTCTGCATTTCTAAGATGCTGTTCTGGTCTGAGGACCACATTTTGAGTATCCAGTTCTTTGAGCTCATGGCTGCAAAAGTCCCTTTCTTCCTTAAATATTTAATGAGCACCTACTACGTTCCAAGATTCAGTTTCACCTGTGCTAATGTTTAATTACTTCGCTGTGTGGCTGGTGCAAGTTACTGTGGTACTCTGTTTCCTCTTCTTCCCTCCTGCTGCTACCCAGACATACTGAGGCAGCCCTGCTACCTCTCACTTACTGCACTGGTTTGGGGAACCCCAGCCACACCCCAGCTTTTCTCTGGATGGATAAACCTGCCAGCAGCTGGTTGAGTCCCAGCAGAGAAAGAGGAGAATCTGTGCACCGCAATTTTTTGGGGGGTGGGCTCAGGACCCTCCAAGACCCTAGGATGTGAAGCTGGATCAGATAGGGTTTCAAGGCATGTGGATGGAAGGGGAAGGAAAGTTGGGGCATCTCCCCAACATTCAATTAATTGCAGGAGAAATGTCTATCCTAATTCTCTCACTCGGCAGCTCCATCCTTCAAACTCACCCTTGTCTTGGAGCCTGACCTCAGAGGGGCTAAGATGGCCCCACAGGGGAACTTGAGACCATGTCTGGACAAGATGTGCCTCCTTTAAGGCCAACATCCCATTTCCCAGATGGGAAGACTGAGCCCAGGCTGGCCGGCCCTGCCCACACTCAGAGCAAGGATGGGGCAGCAGGCCGACTCCACTCAGGGTCCCCTGGCTCTGTCCTGCCCTGTCTGGACCCCGTGTGCTCACGGCCCCTCTCAGTCCCACCCCCAGTTCCTCCCTTCTGTCCTTGGACGCTGAGCCCAGCCACCGAGTTTGCCCTTCCAGGTGGGCTCTTCATAGCCAGAATCTGACCCAGGTAACCCCCAGCGAGGCTGGATTCTTTGTTCCTGTCCCTAGCAGTCATGCCTCAGCCCAGGGCCTGGGCTGCTAGGAGGTAGGACTTGAACTCCTGCGACACTATGTGGCCGGGGCCAGAGGCTTTAATCTATAATCTTCCTGATTCTGCTCTGAGCAATGGCGCACGACGTCCTCCTATCCCACGCTTGGAGAGGGGCTCGGGAGATGGTTTGATACAAAGCTTGTCCTGGTCCTGCTTAGGCGGCACCTGGACTCTCAAGTTCATGCTTTTACCTGGCCTTGGAAGGGTGGGGACGGCTGTAAATGTGGGGGCCCAGAGTCACCTTCACCCTTGGTTTGAACAGGAGGTGCTGAGCTGCGCAGATCTGATTTCCACACTGCGTGTTACCCTGAGCTGCTTCCTCTTTGTACGCAGATGGTCCTGCCCTCGTGCCCTCATGCCTTGGCCGACTGCCCGGGCGGGGAGGAGGTAGCAGGGCCCTCAGGGATTGGCCGGCCCAGCCCAGCCCGGCTTCCTGTAGGTCAGGGCTCCGGGACAAAGAAGTCCCAGGAGGAGAGGAGAAGAAGTTGTGTGGACAAGCTGCTCCTGAGAGAAGGTGCCGGGCTGGGGTGGCGGGGCTGGAGGGTTCCGGCCCCGGGTGAGAAGGGGCTGCCCAAGGCTGGGGCGGCTCCAGGCTGCCAGCCCAGGGGACTGGTGGTTTCTTGGTAACTGAGCCCCTGGCAGCCTCCCAGTGATTCAGCTGGGCCTTTCTAAACTGTAATCAGCTTTCTCTCTCCTCCTCTTCCTCCTCTCCCTCTTCCTCTGCCTCTGGGGTCCCTGGGTCTCCTGCCTGCTCTCAGTCCCTGCGTCCCCATCTCTGAGGCCTCCCCTTCCTGCCCCTGCTCCTCTGCACTGTCCCTGGAGCCCTCTTTCCTCTCCTGGGCCTCAGGATCTCCCCCTGCACCCGTCTGCCCTGCAGGATGCCACAGCTGAGCCTGTCCTGGCTGGGCCTGGGGCCGGTGGCTGCCTCCCCGTGGCTGCTGCTGCTGCTGGTCGGGGCCTCCTGGCTCCTGGCCCGCGTCCTGGCCTGGACCTACGCCTTCTATGACAACTGCAGCCGCCTCCGCTGTTTCCCGCAGCCCCCGAAACGGAGCTGGTTTTGGGGTCACCTGGGCATGGTGAGTGTGGCAGCAGGACAAGTCTGGGGTGTTAGAGTGGGTGGACTTCCCCAGGACAGGAAGGGGCTCAGGGAGCTGGGGGTGGAGGTGGACTGGGGTCTGGGATGGCAGAGAAGCGAGGGAGGTGGCTCACTCACTCCTCTGCTCACTGCCTCACTGCTCTGCTGTGCCGTCCCAGGCCTCTGTCCCCTCCTTGTCCTCCCACCCCAGCCCACTCAGCACCCTTTTCCTGCCTGTCTTCCCACATTGGTGCACCGTGAGGGCTCCCGGGGAGGGCTGCACAGAGCAGGGACCCCCTCTGCCCCCGGCTGGTGCAGTCTTCATCAATGGACTTGAGCCCTCCTTGGGGGTCTGCTCCCTGCCAGACCCATCTCTGTTGGCCTCGGCCAGTATCTGCACCTCCCTGAAGGGATTTGCTAGGACCCTCTTCCCCCCCGACCCACAGGTCACGGAGAGGAGTGGCCGTGCTTTCTGTCCCCCCCTTTCCTAGGGCACTTTCTTTTTCTTATCCTGCCCTCCGCAGCCAAGATGTCTCAACGGACGCCCTGCCCAGCGTGGGTAAAGTCTGCGACTTTTCCTTTTAGAAGGGATCCCTTTGGCCTTTGCCCTCACAGCCGAACTCCCTGGGAGGAGGCTCCTTGCCCCCGTCCCAGCCTCACCCCCAGAGGCCCATCCTCCGTGCCGCGTTGGCTCCCCGTTGCCAGTGTCGTGCTTTGGGTTTGCCGTCACCCTTCAGGGCGCCACCCCCATGCCACCGACCGGAGTGTTGCATTCTCTGACCACGACCCCCTCTCCTTCCAGCTTCCTTCTTTACCTCCTTTCATCCTCCGTCCCCTCAGGACATCCGGTCCCTCGACCTCCCAAGAGTGTCCTTTCAACCCTCCTTGCTGGGCTGCATCGTGCTGAGATTTCCGTTACTAGCTCGTGGGCTGAAGGCGCTTGCCAGCCGGGCTTCCCTTCACGGCCATCTGGAAAACCTTTGCTTCGGATCAGTTCAGTGGCCGACATTCTCCGACCTCTTTTCCACAGTGACACTAGAGAGAGTCATGAAACAGGACAGACGGGTGACGTGTAAATTCCCACCCTCCGCCCGTGCAGGGCACCTCATTCTGCACCCAAACTGCAGCCGGCTCGTGCTGCCGTCCCCTCGTGGACAAGGAGCTGTGTTCACTCGCTGCCTCTATTTCCCCGCTCGCTCCTCGCCCCCTTCATGCTCCCTTGAGATGACCGCGACCTCCAGGCCCCCGAATCCCATGGACACCTCCTGGCCCACCTCGTCCGTCTCCCCGCAGCTCTCTGACTTGTTGACTGCCCCGTCCTTCCCCGCACCCCGTCTTCTCCCGGTTCCAGGACCCGCCCTCCCCTGGTCCCCTGGACCTCCCCGTGGACCGGCTGTCTCTGCTGCTGTCTCCCCTGCCCTGTGGGGGTTCTGGGGCCCCAGCCCCCGCTGCCTCTTCTCTCTCTCCCAGGCCCCTCCTCCCCCAGGGCTCCAGCTACGCTGACCATTGTCCCCTCTTCGTGGGGGGTCTCAAAGAGACCTCAACCCCAACAGGTGTGAATCTGGACTCACGGCCCCCTCCCCGCACAGCCCCCACCCTCGGTCTAGTCCATCAGTTGCCCAGACCCCACGCTTTGGGGTCCCCTCGCCCCCTCTTTCTCTCGCTCACACATCCTGTCCCTTAGCTCGTCTGGCGGTGCTGCCTGGACAATCTCCCCTCAATCGGTCCCTTCTCTGTGTCCTCCTGTCGCTCCTGGTCCCCTACACTGCCATCTGTCTCCTGCCTCTTCTGCTCCTCTTGGTCCACTCTGTTCTCAGCCCTGGAGAGACTTCCGAAATTTAGTTTAGATCATGACACTTCTTGGCTGGAAACCCATCACTCTGGGGCTAAGGCATAAATGTTGCCTGGCCAGGCCCTGTGGGCATGCCGAGTTTCTGTTTTATCTCCTCAATGAGCCAAGCCCTTCCTACCCCAGGACCTTTGCTCATGCTGTTCTTGTGCCTGGAAGCTCTTTCCTTCCTGTGGACGCCCGGTCTTCCATTTTCAGCTCAAGTCTAGCTTCCCTTAGAAGCCTTCCTTGACTCCCTAGACCTTGGCGTCTGACTTGGCCCTGCTCATCCTTCAATAGTGAACTGTGCAATTTTGTTTGTTATCCTTCTGTCTCCTTAGATGGTAGTGTTTCAGGGGGAGGAGGGTAGACACTCTTTCTACAGTACCTGGCCCCAGGGGTTCACATACAGTAGGCACTTAATAAATGTTTGATGACCTCGTGGTGGAGGCCATGTCCTAGGTCTGAGTGAACTTGCCGTCACCTCCCTCGGTCGACCAAGGCCAAAGGGATGAGTGTCCAGCTCTTCCCC